GGCTTTTAAAATGACCTTGTCTTCTGCCCCAAAATATTGTCCCTTGAAGGGTGGGGAAGTATTGTTTCCTGATGGGATCAGGGTGGTAAATGCCTTAAGGGCTTCCGTTAAGTTTTGTATCTGAGCCTGCAAGGCTGAGGATAAAGTCCTGGCCTCGGCAATAGCATTTTTTAGTTCTTTTACAACGTTGACCAGATAGGCCTGAGGGGCCGCTTCCCCCCACGGGCTGCGGACGGCTGGGGGTTCCCAGTGAGCCATAACAGGGAAAACTTGCAGCTCTGCCGGGGATGTTTTTAAAGGTGGACTAGCCTCCTCCACTTCTTCAGGTGCCGCTTTTTCTCCTTTGGTTAAACTTTGCTTAGGGCCTTGCATTGGCAGCTTTGTTTCCTTTCTTCTCTCCTCATCGAACTGCACCCAATCCCTTTCTGCCCCTTCCTGATGCTCGGGACGGAAGCAAAGCTTTAGGGCAGAGAAGATGGTTGGGTAGAACCCTAAGGGGGGGGTCTAGCCCGTGACTAATCTCATTCTTTCTGGCCAGGGTCTGAACTGGGTCCCAAGTCTCATACGAGAACAAGTTGGATGAAGGTGCCCAAGGGGTCACCTGCACCACCTAGGCCTCTGCTTTTTAAAATGTACTTTAGAACTTTGCAGGCTGTCTTGTCAGATATTTCTAGGCCTCTGCTTTTTAAAATGTACTTTAGAGCTTTGCAGGCTGTCTCGTCAGATATTTCGAGGCCTCTGCTTTTTAACATGTACTTGAGAGCCTTGCAAGCTGTCTCGTCACTCTTTCCACACACAGACCTCCCATGTTGCCCCGTGAGGAAGGGACAAAGGGAGCACAGGGCAGAGAAGTGCAGGGATTTCCCCCTGTTATGGTACTCACCCTGACACGCAGGCGGATTACTTCACGGTGACTAATGCGGTTGCGGGGGCCACTCCGCTGGTTGATCACCCTTCGTCGACCTTCTTTCAGGACTGAGCAGCCAGGGGCCTCACTTGCTCGCCTTTCACCCACGAGTTTTAAAAACGCCTCACACGGGGCACCAATCTGTCGGGTCCGCCGCCGGCCAACCCATACAGCCCTAGCCTCATTCCTTTCAGTGGGCGAGCAAATGGCCCGGATTCCTCTTTCCCTCCTATCCCCTTTGGAAGGAGACGGGGGAAGAGAGCCGTGAAGAGAGGTGAGCACACCGCAGTTCCCATTTGAAGGTGGGCTCAGTTCCTCATTCCATCGGTGAGAACCTCTCCCTGTAAGTGAGACCTCCCAGCAGAGCAGCCACACGTGTACTTCACGCTTCAGCCACTGGGAGGAGACCTTCCACCACCCATCACAGACCAGCTGCCCGGAAGAACGCTTCAGAGCAGGTACCCAGGCAGTGAAAACTGCACATTTCATTTTCTATCTTAAAGTGAGAAAAGTCCCTGGTTTCTAAGCACTCCATAAATTACTGTGCCCCGTGGTGTTGCTTTCTGTTCCCAGTATCAACAGATGCAAAGAAAACCCTTTACACTAATTATCTGAATAGAATAATCACTTAGGTACAGCCCCCCACTTCTGTGCAGTACTTTAGACGTTTCGGGGCACAGTTATGTGCACTGACTCACCTTGTAGGGAGGGTGAGAATGATATGGCATTGTGTCTTTTCACACACAGACACCCCCACCCTACTTCCTCCCAGCGCCGTCTTAGGCTGCCATGTTAATATGCCCTTGTGGGCCCATAATGGCGCCGCTTGTAATGTCACTTAAGGTGGCGTTGGTTTTTAAGGCCCGACACCCGGGGAAGCTTATAGTTCAGTGAAGCACACAGCAGCCAGTTGTTAACTGCTAAGTGTAATAATACTTTGAAGAATAAAAGAAATGCTGAAGTTCAAATATATTGTAGAAACACAGAAGCAATAGCAATTAATTTTCACTGTAGAATGAGAAGACACTGTTCCAGAGGCTAAGAAAAGGGCGTGTTTTTTTTTAAGGGGAAAGGAAACAGTTCGCCATGGCAAGTGTGGCTGAACAGTCTTTAGGAATGAGGTCCCTGAATTTGGGCAATAAAGGAGTCACTGATTTTTTCAAAAAACAGTTTTAGTAAAATGTCAACGTTAGAAGCCATTTCGCAAGAGTTAAAGAAACGGTGAGAGGAACGGTTCATTCATTCCGCTGTCAACTAAATGTTTGCGGAGTCCTGTTCTGGACTGGAGGTGGGAGCAAGAGGAGAGGCTGCCGAGACAGGAGAGAGGCAGATGATGGCGAGGAATGGAATAATCCAGACAAGAGTTCCAAAAGTGCATCCTTTGAGTGTAGCTTTAAAATGGCCAAATTAGTTAAAAGGTTAGGCCTAGACAAAAGGCAGTTCTTCTCTGAGGCGTGGGGAATGGTTCCCATTTGAAGGTGGGCTCAGTTCCTCATTCCATCGGTGAGAACCTCTCCCTGTAAGTGAGACCTCCCAGCAGAGCAGCCCCACGTGTACTTCACGCTTCAGCCACTGGGAGGAGACCTTCTACCACCCATCACAGACCAGCTGCCCGTAAGAACGCTTCAGAGCAGGTACCCAGGCAGTGAAAACCGCACATTTCATTTTCTATCTTAAAGTGAGAAAAGTCCCTGGTTTCTAAGCACTCCATAAATTACTGTGCCCCGTGGTGTTGCTTTCTGTTCCCAGTATCAACAGATGCAAAGAAAACCCTTTACACTAATTATCTGAATAGAATAATCACTTAGGTACAGCCCCCCACTTCTGTGCAGTACTTTAGACGTTTCGGGGCACAGTTATGTGCACTGACTCACCTTGTAGGGAGGGTGAGAATGATATGGCATTGTGTCTTTTCACACAGCAAGGAGATCAGAACTTTGCCTGCATTCACACGTGCAGTGGTGGAATTGGGACTCTTGGAAGTGTATTCACGAAATACATGTTCATTAATATCAGACTAAAGAAATTCACCCCGAAATTATGCCTCTATTTTTATAAGCCATCTTCACTGCTCAGGGATGATATGAGATAGGGCGGGTCCCCTGGCGCTGGTACCAAAGGAGGAGTCTTCTGTTCTTTACTCTCTTAATGTAGGCTGGTCGGGTTCTCTCCAGTGTGACCTCGGATGAGAACAGTGCGTGGCAGTGAACATCCGTGGGGAGAGGGGGGCGTGATGTCTATGAGAGTTGGACGTGCCCCAATGAAAACAGGACCAAAGAAAATAACTGTCACCGTAGAACTGACCTGCAGTCCAGCACATTGGTTCACTCACACTTGTAACCTACAGCAGAGCAGAAAGTGAAGTAGGAAAAAAATTCAGCTATTATTTGAAGTCAGAGGGGGCAAACTGACAGTCTACAGGCATAATGTAGCGTGCACGCCAAAGTCAGCATGCAGACATGCACTTCTGACTTCGATGAAGCTTAAAAATGCTTTTACATTAGCTACCAGCATTAAAAAATCAGGAGATCACGCACACCCACACACAACAGTCAGCATGCAGACATGCACTTCTGACTTCGATGAAGCTTAAAAATGCTTTTACATTAGCTTCCAGCATTAAAAACTCAGGAGATCACGCACACCCACACAACACACACACACACACACACACACACAGAGGCTTATGCTGGGGTATAATTTTCCCATTTGGTGAAGATGGAATGGAGCTGCTAAAGAGTGGCTCCCCATCTCCCCCCTCCACAACCATCAGTTTTATGTATTTTTATTAACTTTCTGGCTTCCATAGGCATCTCAGTTTGGAACCCCAGATTAAAGGCATCTCATTCTTGGCTTCCATTTTCTCATTCTTGTCCCCAAGAAGATACAGTGAACGTGCATATGTCTTGTCATGAGCATTTGCTTTGTGGCTATATTTACCTTATAAAGTTAAGCAGAATTATTTTCTGAACTAACATTTTCTGTAGTAACAGGGAAGTACAAAAGCTAGTGGGGGGGGGTCAGCCTTTCTAGTCTTAAGGCACACACTTGTTCTTTGCAATAACCGCACAAGCAGTGGGAGACCAAGTCATGCCTTGTATGGAAAGTTCTTTCTTCTGCTGAGTTCAGATTTGCTTCTCACTCTCAGCTATTTTGTGGTCCTTATCCTGCCTTTCGAAGTTGTGTAGACTAAGTCTTAAAACCAGAGTGTGTGCAAGCCGGGAAGAACTCTTGGGATAATTGCATTCCCTTCTCACTGGGCAGGAGCCCTCGTGTTTATTTACACGGACTTGCTCACTGTACTTGCTCAAGGTTCTGCTTTATGCTCACTCGAAAGCTTCTTCCTCTGGTCCGACCTTCTCATTATTATTTCAGTATCTACACTAAAGTGAGTCTTTTTAGACTAAATTCTGTTTCTTTATCATTGCTATCAGGATTATGTATACCACGTAGTGAGTGCGATCTGTGAATGGACAGTGGCCTTTGGTTTTATTTTCTACTTCTTAACATTCATCCAAGATTTCCAGGTAGGTATTTATCAATTCAAATATTATAAATTGCTGACAACTAGGATTAGTGAAAATTCACCAAAAATTTCTTGCATTTTAAAAAAAGAGTACTTTCTTTTTACCCTTAATGTGTTTTTTAAAAAGTTTATTAGCTTATTCCCAAAGGGATGCATCTTTAACGGATCTCCCCAAAAATGAAATTTTCATATGTTCTCTGCTGTTTGATGCTACTAGCCATGTATTCTGGTTGTTTTCTTTTTGAGGAGATCTCATTTACCAGTTCCAAACAATAGAAAATATATCTTTTTTATTTTTTAATTAATTAATTATTATTTTTTTGGTCGCTGTCTGGTACAGGGATCTGGACCTTTGATCTTGATGTTCTAACACCATGCTCTAACCAATTGAGCTAACTGGCCAGACCTAATTTTTAATTTTTAATTTTTTGTCAACACCTTGATTTTATGAAAATATATCTTTTTAGAAGACAAAAGTATGTTGTTGAAAAATGTTCCCAAGGCAGAGAAAAGGTGGGGCATTATCAAATTTGGCAAGGAAAATCTTACATTTTGAAACAAGTGGATTATTAGCTAAATATAGAAAGCCAAGAAAATTCTTTGGGACCCAACTCAAGCATAGCACAAACCATAGTGAGGTCATCTCTTAGGTGGTGCAAAGCTGTTGGAAATTTCATAGTTGGCACCGGAATTGTTTACTTTCTTTTAAGCCTTTTTCTTTTTCTTTTTAAAAATAGAGTGTCACCATAAAGATATCCACAGAAATCAATGGTGACATTTGAAGAAAGAAGAATTATACCTCACTCAGTGAATGTCACAGATAATTTCTAGACGTGGTACGGAGGACAGACAGGGTTTTGATGCCACCCTGATTGGAACGCATCTGAGGCACATTCAGGACTTGAATTTCATTAAGAATTCCCAATAGTTGTACTGTTTCCAAAGGTATGTTTTCCTAGAGAATGTACAGCATTTATGACATTGTAGCGATGTCTTTATAATTTTCTAAGTGGACACTTTTTTATATTAACAAATTCATATACAGAAAAGATAGGATGTTACAGAAATTGGAGAGCTCTTACTTTGTACAGATTCTGTTAATTTTTTCTTTGTGTGTGAATGATTTATGGAAATACACTAAGTGAGGAATTTAAGTTTACTACATTTATTAAAAAGTAAAATCAGGAGATATTCATTGTAAAATTTCATTTTCAGAAAATGAACTATATAATTTTTTTATCATGAGCATTTATAAAATTCAATTTATAATATATATCCAAATCATAAAGATTTAGTTAATACATTAACACTAAGATGCTCTGATTTTAGCTGAACTAAGCAAAATGCTTCTGAGAGGCCTTAATACCACTATGCACATTAACTCTAAGTGAATACAAAGACCTTGGCTTTGGAACTCTGCCTGTTCATTTCTCCCTGCTTCTAGGGCCACAGCTTTTACCCCTGCTGCTAATTAGCAGCCCGCAGTGGGCAGCATTCCAGGTGGGATGCATTCAGCAAGGCAGGTTAGATATTATGAAATCATTCTTTATTGTTACTGGCATAACTTGATGTATATCATAGTCTGACTCAGAAGCTGAAGCTCATGTCTCAAATGCATTTTATGCCAATAAACATGCTGAACTGAACAAAAGCCCAAGAGAGAGACAAGGAGAAAGGAGAGGGGGCAGCTGAAACTTCTGGGCTCAGGGTGCTGTTTATTTCTCTCCTGTGGCCAATATTCCTCAACACCATAGAAAATATGAGTCAAGCCCTTTGCGTTAAGCAGGACCTACAAACTCCACCTTTTCAACTGAATCACGAATGACATGTGAAAAGCGACTCATTCTGGTGGAAGAAGTAGCCCTTGAAATATTAAGGCTTGGGCTTGAAAGTTGAAGAAAGGAAACTCTCTCCTTCAGAGACTCCTCCAGACCACAAACTCGTGTCCGGCCAATTGGGACCAGCCTTTGAGGACACATACCAAGGGCAGAGCAGCCCATTTGGACAGCCTGGGAGGGCATCTGGGGAGGGGTGAGCACATGGTGGCTCCCTACTGACTATGTGTTGAGTGAGTGAAGGGACAAGACTCAGCCGCTGTCAGCCACCTCTGCAATGACAAACTGCTTCTCCCCTAAGTGTTCAGCAGGGGGAATCTGATAACCATTTCAGGGTCCCCTGCAACTATGTCAGAACGCTGTGGGTCCCCATTGTAACACTGGAACTGAAAGACAGTGACCGAAGCTATGTCCGACATCTGTTATTTTGAAGAGTCTTTCCCCGGATCCTATGGTAGAATGAATCATGGTTGTGTCTCGCTTTGAACAGACTTGTTAACAGCATTTTCAAGATGCATTATCATTCTTCATTTCCACCCCATCTCTTTCAATTAGATTGGAAGCTCCTTGAGGGCAGAATATGTGCCTTAATTTGTATCTTTGTAACTCCAGCATTTAACACGGTGCCTGTTGGTGCCTCCTGGTACACCTTAGGTGCTTAATAAATACTCATTAATGCATGAATAAATGGATGAAGGAATGATTAGGAATGTTTGTAGTGCTGCATAACGGGATTTACTTTGTTTGCCAGTTAGTTTAATGATAAATAGTCTGTATCACCCAGTAATGTTGACTGTTTTGCTTTGTGTACTGTGAACATTTCAGTTGTTTGGGCTTCACCATTCTATGACAACTCTCTTCAACCTGGGCAGTTACCACAGAAATTGTTACATGAGCTAAACCAAATGTTACACCTGTCTTGGCAAAGTGAGAAGGCCAAAAATCACTCCAGACAATCACCTTCTGCTGATTCCATGCAACGTCTAAAGCTGGTCTTATTCATATTTTGGTATTGTTTCTAATTTACATGAACTTGCATTTCCTGGGACCTCATAGCTGAAAGAGTAAAATAAAATGAAATATTTCTTTATTTTAGTAATGTGTGTCTCTGTTGAATTATAAAATATCGCCTGGGTACTACTATGAAGTGTGTTTATCTGGGAGATGATTCCAGATCCACTTGGACTTTATCAAGGAATGGTTTAAACCTTACGTTTTCCTAATTGACATATCTTTGCATGTGGTTACAATTGGTTCATCTTTGTAGAGATTCTCAAAAGTTAATATCAGAGATTCATATCAGTCAAGACTCTTAGAGGTGAAGCCATCAGAAATCCAACGAGAAGGAAAAAAGGGAATCTATATTGCCTCAAGTAACTGAGACCCCCGGGAAGGAGCTGGCTTTAGGGATGGCTGGACCCAAACGTGCCACCAGGACTCCATCCACTCTGTACCCCCCTCACCTCTGCTTTCCTCTCTGTTGGCATCATTCTCAGAAAGTCTTTTCCCTGGTGGGAGTGAGAGGACTTCTAAAACCTCCAGGCCTACAACCTATCCAGTGGAAAGAGAGGACTTCTCCATAGTCCCCAAAAAGGCCCATGAGTTGGAACTCCTTGTCTCTGATTGGCTGGTTTGGGTCACATGTCCATCCTGTAGTGCAGGGAGGAGTGATGCTCTGATTGGTCAGATCTGAGTCACGTGTCCACCTCTGGAGCAGGGAGAGGTCAACACCACCCAACCTATGGGGTTGAGGGTGGGTGAAAGTTGTTTCTCAGAAGAAAGGGGTGGGAGGTGGATTTGGACAGACAAAAAGCTGTAGTTTCCACTATGGAATTAGAGCCCCCCCCCTCACTCCTCCCGACCTAACTGGCTTCAGAGTAAACCAAAGTATAGCTACTAACAACCTTTACAGATTAAAAAAAAAAAAAAGGAAATGCAGGTCATTTAGGTAATACAAATGCCCACTGTTAACTTCAAACTTATGTTTATATTTTTTCAAGGTTCTTGTGTTCTTATTTAACCTCTGTGAGGTTGGTCAGGCAGTTAATGACCATATTTTTCAGATGAGGAAACTAGCGCAGAGAGAGGCTCAGCGACCTGTAAGCAGCTCTGCAGCCAGACGGCAAGAGATTCCAGTCTGGAACTCTTGTTTTCCTGATTCCTAATCAAGTGGGTCTTTTTTTTTTTTAACACTAACAGAGGATTCCACAGAAATTGCATTTCATAAACCAAATTAAGTACATCAGTGTTGTGCTGTGTTTGGGTTTCCCAACATCCCTTACATGTGGCGTTGTCCCATGTTCCCATTTTTTACTTAGTTGGAGACATACTGGTCTGGTGTTTGGGCCTGGAATGAGGAAAGGGGAGTGGGAGGGAGATAAGTGGTATCCCATTCTCTCCCACTCCCTGATTCTGGCAAGCCAGTAAGCCCAGCCGTCTCCCCACACACATACTCTTGGTCTGGCTCTGAATGCCCGGCATTCTCAAGTCCAGAATGTCATGCATCTGCGTCGTGTCTGTTGCACAAGAGAGCAACCACAGCCTCAAGCCCTGGAGGAGACGCTTCTGACTCTTCTTGGTCACTCCCAGCAGATTTATCTTCCAAAATGGAGGGCAGCAGGATCTCAAACTCATTTTGGGGGTGGCAGCAACCTCCAAAGTTGATGCTTGGAAGATGCAGAAGGAGATACCAACAGTCTGGTGGTTTGAGGCAGGATGCCCTGAGGTGCCTGGAAAGCCTGAGGTTTAGACAGTCCCCCAGCCACAGGCACTGCTCTGTGTCTTACCACCCCCACAGCCAGATCCACCTCTGGACCTCTGAGTTATGTGAGTTGATAGAGTCTCTCTTTAACTTCAGTAAACTCGAGTTGGATTTCTGATGCTTATACCTGCAAGAGTCCTGACTGATACAAATACTCCGGAGTTCCCCCAAGATGAAAATACAATAAACTACTGTTTATCTGAAGTCACCATGTGGAATGGAAAGATAGTTTCAAGATAAGGGATTCAGTTGCCCCCCACTTCCAACCCTTATTCTCTGAACAATTTGTCTTTATTAAAAAATTTTTGAATGAATTTTCACAATTCACAATTCAAAACAATACGAAAAGCCTTCTGCTTTCCTCTACCACGTATACTCAATTCACCCATCTCCCTGCAGATTTTTATAAAAATACAAGAAAAAAACAAACATTTTCAAATGTCTTCTCTTTATTTTTTGCCCCAAATGTAGCATGCTGTACAAACAGTTTTGAGCCTTCCTTTCTGGTTTCACAGTGTATCTTGGAGATGTTTCCTTTATCCATACATAGAGATTGTCCTCGTTTTTTTGGCTTGTTTTGTTTTACACCTGTACGGTATTCCATTGTATGGCTGCACCGTCATTTATTTAACAAGTCCCCTATCTGATAACAAGTTGTCTGGTTTCCAAACTTGCAGTCACACATAAATGACCTTGTACATACGTCATTTCACACACATGCAAAGAAATCTGTAGGAGCAATTGCGATGAGTGGGATGCTGGGACAAACAGGATCTGTGCCTGTAATCTGACAAATATTGTGATCTTGCCTTTCGAACCTTTTCTCTTGAATGTTCTTGTTAGAAATCTTTGCAACGATTACACACACTTCCTTCTAAATGTAGGTTGCTGAATATAAGTTCACCTTCTCTTGGTGACTCAGTCGTCACTGAGAGCATCTGTGACTGCAGAGCAGGCACAGGTGTGGACTCTGTGGTGGATGGTGCAGGACCATCTGGGGCCTGCTGACTTGGTCACTGGCCTTGCCCAAACACCCCCGTTTGTTCCCTCTCTTATTGGAACACCCAGGGCAGGGAGGGCAAGGCTGTTCACTCCCCTTTTTGCTGACAGTGGGAACTCTGCTGTCCTCTGCCACCTCCCCTCTGCCCCCTGCTCTCCTCTTTATCATGGTCAGGAGTGTCTCCAGTTCACTGTGATAATGCACTTTGTCACTGCCTCTTCTAACCTCGTCCTTTTTCTACCCACTTTCCCTTTTTGGTGTCTCTCCAAATGCCTGCTCATCCTCTTACATTTCTTCCTCATCTTTTGAGAGGATTGTGGTTTCACAGACATCAACAACCAACCACAATATCCCCTTTCCCCTTTCTGGCAAACTGACCCATGACAAAACCCCAGGGGAATCCATAGACTTTTCGATCCTTCCCGACCTTATAGCTTGGTGGTCAGTGCGGAACAACCCAGTGAGTAGGGGACACCAGCATTACAGGGGCCACAAAGAGAGACAGAGCAAGGAAACTCCAGACTTGAGAAACTTAAAAACCTATTTGGAAGATTTAATTTTGCCTGAACGTGCCTTTTATGCCATTTTGAAAAGAGAAAAATCTAGAGATACAACAGATTATCAGCCATTATCCTCTGAATATGAATGAACTTGTCAGCTTTTCTTTTCTCTTTTTTTCTTTTTATCCTACAATGTAGCATCATCCATAGTCAGCTTTTCTAAGGTCATATAAGGCCCTGAGGAATGAAACCCCTAAACTGGTAAGTTTAGAAAAATGGATGAAATGTCTGGGTTGCTGCTTCAAAGGGGCAGGTCCAGTTTGAAGTCTGGGCATCTACAGCTTAGGGTGGCGGCAGTGGTAGGTAGTGGGTCTCAGGTGTAGAAACAGTAAGGAGAGGGCTTGTATGATTCACCCGGTCTTTGGTGGGAGTTTGGGATTAGTTCTCTCGCACCCATGCACTGTCCCTGAGGAGCAATGAATTGGCCAAAGATTCCATTGGGCGCTGGGGGTGGACGTCCTTCAATACTATGAAGGCTCTGGTGGCTGTGAGGTGTGGTTTCTTAGGACCTCGACCCCTAGTATTTTTTGCTTGTTTTTGGTGCAGTAGTTGGACTGGGGGCTGCCTTCTGTTTGGAAAGAAGCATCTATTCCTGACTTCCTAAGGAAAAAGTCATGTGAGGCCCAGGGGAAAGGCCATTTAGGCTGCCACCAGGCTGGGTAAAAGAAGTCTTCAGTGTTCATTTAAAAAAAAATTGTTTAAAATTCTTTTTATTGTGATAAAATACACATAACATAAAATTTGCTCTCTTAGCCATTTTAAGTATACAGTTAGGTGGTAGGCCATTTAGGCTGCCACCAGGCTGGGTAAAAGAAGTCTTCAGTGTTCATTTAAAAAAAAAATTGTTTAAAATTCTTTTTATTGTGATAAAATACACATAACATAAAATTTGCTCTCTTAGCCATTTTAAGTATACAGTTAGGTGGTATTAAATTCATTCATAACGATGTGCAACTACACCACTCTCCGTCTCCATAACTCTTAATTTTTTTGAGCAACTGCCATACTGTTTTCGACAGCAATGGTAGTTTTTTACATTCCCACCGACGGTACAAGGGTCCCAGTTTCTCCACATCCACAAAATAATAAGAACACATTATTTTCTGTTTTTTTTTTTTTTTTTTTTTTTT